GTGAGTTTCGAACTCGAGACTCTCGGACGTTAATCCAGCACCAAGCACGTCTGCTATCGAGTCATTGTGGTATATTATTTAGCAAACTTATATTTGTGTAGTTACCAACGTTCGGGAATTTTTTTTAAGTTTTATTTGCTTACTCTATTATTTCCAGAGGTTCATATGGATATTAAGACTATTGACTACCTTATTATTACGGTTTATGTAATATCCTGTAAAAAAAAAGGTGGATACAAGTCTCGCTATTTGAGTGTCACCCGGTTTAAAATCGTGGATCTCGAGGAACACACGAATTCATTCGACCAATCAAAAACGTGGAACTAGTTCGAGAGTCTCGTTCAGGTGGCGCGTCGACGCGCCAAAACAGCTCCAGATTGTCACGCGTAGTATTACTATATATACACGACCAATCAAAAACGTGGAACTGCTTCGAGGGCCCTCCGCTAAGGTGGCGCGCCGAAACCAGAGAAAAATTGAGACCACCAAAATCAGGCTCATTGGCAATCTCCCTACTCATCTCTGGTTAGACTGATTAAAACATTTGTTAGATAATAGTTTTTTTGCAATAACGAAAATAAATTATAGTGTTAAGTTAGCTGAAAAATATTGATTTTTTCACAGTTTTTGTTTCGAAACGGGTGCAATCGATGTGGAATCGTTTGTTAGTCCCGAATAAACTAATTAAAACATTTGTTAGATAATAGTTTTTTTGCAATAACGAAAATAAATTATAGTGTTAAGTTAGCTGAAAAATATTGATTTTTTCACAGTTTTTGTTTCGAAACGGGTGCAATCGATGTGGAATCGTTTGTTAGTCCCGAATAAACTAATTAAAACATTTGTTAGATAACGATTTCGCTTAAAATAGCGAAAAACCATCTACCGTCTCGCTGGCCGGGAGTGGGGGTAAGGCATGGAATATACGATGTAAAGAAATATAATTAAGAGGTCAAAACTGAAAGCTAATGTTTTTAAAAAAAAAAAACTAATACCTTGGGTTGTGACAGCATTGGAATTCTTAGTTAATCTAACCTAACCTAACAAATGTTTTTTATTAGTTCATTCGGGACTAACAAACGATTGCACATCGAATGCACCCGTTTCGAAACAAAACTGTGCCGAAATCAATATTGTTCGGCTAACTTAACACTAAAATTTATTTTCGTTATTGCAAAAAAAACTATTATCTAACAAATGTTTTAATTAGTCTAACAATCAATAACAAATGACTAACGATCGATTTGCAAGTACAGAAATTCGATAAGTCGAAGTTGCCCGGCTAACTTTGCGGAGGTATTGACTGAATATGGGTGTGGGAACACACATTTACGGTCGACTAAAATGATATTTCTGAACAGATTCTCCCTTCGAAAGAATTAATCAATGCAAGACCGCTAGTCGATGATTGGTAGTCTAATTAAAACATTTGGTGGTCATCAATTAATGCACGAGGTATGAATAATCATACCTCCGCTGCACTGTGAGCACTAAATGCTGTGATTGAACCTTGAACAATTTTAGGCCGATCGTTGTATAGGCCTATTGGGGACCCGTTACGTTAAATAATGGGAACGTATCGACTGCGGCACATCTTGGGTGATGTGGAAGCCCGCAGGTTGTCGTTGTTATGCCTTTATTGTAATAAGATAAATAAATGAATTGGATATACTCTTTAATCTGTTAATCCCATTTGCATAAGCACATTTTTTTTGTAAAAAGAAAGTGCTCTCCATAGAGGGGTCTCGAACCATAGACCTCCCGATTCGTAACCGGGTGCACAATCCAGACGCCAGAAACATCTGTTTGTTTTACTTTTTTCGGAAGTTGTATTTCCAGAATTTCATCGTTTATTCAACTGCTTACTATTGTTGTTTCGTTTACTTTACATATCAGCAGAATAATATAAAGATGCACACCAGTTAAGAACTTTCGCGCCACCCTTCTCCACGTGGACGAACAATTACAGACAGAGATAATGCTCATTTCCATATTTGCTTCTCAAGATTATTGATTCCACGTAATGAAGTGAGCTAATTATTTTCTCATAGTAAATCTTATTGAGTTTACACTGGGCACTGCAACTGAAGATTGCAAATAAAAAAGTATTTATCCTTCCTTCCTTTCCTTATGGCTGACTCCTCCAATGAGGAGATGTGCTAGTAACTAAAAAAGTATTTATAAGATTATAAGAACCAGCGGCAGCAATAACAGCAATAGCAGACCCCTCAGCAAGAGAGGATCTGTAATCGCTCAAGTCGCTGGTCGCGCGGCACGACCGGGCGTTCAAAATATTAGTGGATTCTATCATAGATAAAATTTAAAAAAAATATATAAACTTAAAATAAAGTTTGGGCAACCTAGAAAGGTTAAAAAAGAGGAACCTTGAACCATTTTTGTAGTAAAATGAAAACAAAAAGAAGATGAAAAGGCAGTTCTTCATGGGGGATCGAACCCGTAACCAGCAGCGGTATATCTTGACAGGTTATTGACTCAGCCACGACGCTCCTTTAATTCTAAATTAAATTTTCTATAGATATTTATCTATGATATTTCAAAATTTCTCTTTGAACTGTTCTCGGTCGTTTCATTTACCAACGAATTTCGCCATTCATTTTTTAATGTTAATTTTCGGCATGATAAGAAGTAAAGAGTGAAAACCAATATTTCTATGCATTTTTTATATCTTTGAAATCCAGTTAAGAACTTTCGCGCCACCCTTCTCCACGTGGACGAACAATTACAGACAGAGATAATGCTCATTTCCATATTTGCTTCTCAAGATTATTGATTCCACGTAATGAAGTGAGCTAATTATTTTCTCATAGTAAATCTTATTGAGTTTACACTGGGCACTGCAACTGAAGATTGCAAATAAAAAAGTATTTATCCTTCCTTCCTTTCCTTATGGCTGACTCCTCCAATGAGGAGATGTGCTAGTAACTAAAAAAGTATTTATAAGATTATAAGAACCAGCGGCAGCAATAACAGCAATAGCAGACCCCTCAGCAAGAGAGGATCTGTAATCGCTCAAGTCGCTGGTCGCGCGGCACGACCGGGCGTTCAAAATATTAGTGGATTCTATCATAGATAAAATTTAAAAAAAATATATAAACTTAAAATAAAGTTTGGGCAACCTAGAAAGGTTAAAAAAGAGGAACCTTGAACCATTTTTGTAGTAAAATGAAAACAAAAAGAAGATGAAAAGGCAGTTCTTCATGGGGGATCGAACCCGTAACCAGCAGCGGTATATCTTGACAGGTTATTGACTCAGCCACGACGCTCCTTTAATTCTAAATTAAATTTTCTATAGATATTTATCTATGATATTTCAAAATTTCTCTTTGAACTGTTCTCGGTCGTTTCATTTACCAACGAATTTCGCCATTCATTTTTTAATGTTAATTTTCGGCATGATAAGAAGTAAAGAGTGAAAACCAATATTTCTATGCATTTTTTATATCTTTGAAATTTATTTGAATATACACATTTGTTTGCGCATTACGTCCATACCAATGTTTAGGGTTCGGTTGGACTGAAGACCTTGCTGCCCCGCCTGTTTGTCAAGAACGGTTTGTGAGGGGCGGCAACTTTTTCCCCACCACCGAGCAATCCATTCATTTTCGCTTACTGCAATATCGGCTGGAACGATGATCATGACCCGCGCGGCTACGCGAAATCTGTAACATCGACAGAGGCGATGATCACGAAATCCTACTCCCGGACTCGCCGCTACGATTTAGCGCCATGCTTTTCGTATCGCCTAAAACCGGAGCGTTATGCATCTCCTCACTCATCTCTGCCGGAGCGTTGTGCATTTCCCCACTCATCTCTGATATGTAGAGTCCAGCATAATCTTTCCAACCTGACTTTAGGACTAGTTACTGGCACATCTCATTGGAGGAGTCCAGAGGAGTCAGCCATAAGGAAAGGATGGAAGGACTCTTCTCTGATAACACTACGATCGTTTTCCTTCTATGTAGGTTTCGTGCTGCTGACTTCGGTGTGCAAGGCGCATTAGTTAACAATAATAAATAGTATAACTTAATATACCGACATGGAAAAAACAGAAAGGAAGAAGCGGACGTCAAATTTCACTGAGGTGGAAAAAATTATGTTGGTTGATTTAATCAACGAAAAAAAGCATGTAATAGAAAATAAAGTAACAAACAGTGCAACTATCAAGGAAAAAGAAAAATGTTGGGAGGAAATAACCAATAAATTTAACAGTGCCTCTACTTTCACATATCGAGATACGCAGGTATTGCGAAATTGTTGGGACAATATCAAAAAACGAAAAAGAAAATACTTCGCGGACGGAAGAAAAGAAGTGTTAAAAACGGGTAAGTATTAAAACACGTAAAATAAGTAGTATTTCATGTCTTGCTTTATTATATTGTTGTAACATTTTTTTAGGAGGCGGACAGTATCATTTTGAAGACAATTCATTGGCCAGCAAAACAAGAGAAATCATCAGGTCATCAGTGGATGGAATGTTCAATGATGTTGACAGCGATTGTATTTCATCAGCCATCGATAAAGAGAACATGTCACCATCTGAGGATATATCGTTCCGAGAAGCAGGAATGAATGAAACCGTTGTGATCGATTCACTTGATGATTCCAAGGAATATGAAGTAGAATACCTTCCAGAATACGAACATATATGTTTACGAACCAATGAAAAAGAGATTGATCCGACAATGAATGCCCTTGAAGTGAAAGTATCTGCAGGCGAAAAAGCATCAAATCCGTCAACATCAATTGATGAAAACAAATCGACAGTACAAAGGAATCTGATTAGAAAGAACCAGCAGTTGCAAAGAAAATTAAATCGTTTTTATAATACGACGGTACCAAAAACGACCAGAGAATCCAGCAACAAAAAAATCGCTCAATTTACTAAATTAACTGAATCAAAAATAACATTAAGTGAAATTCTGGCAAAAAATGAAACAGAAAAACACTCCATTGAAATGGCGATTGCTGAAAAAACATTGATTCGTGAGAAACTAGAAATAGACGTTTTAAAAACAGAATTAGAAATAAAAAAGACCATCTTAATGCGGGAAAAATCTAAAAATGCCATGTTGGGAATAATAAATAAAACAGAATAAAGATAAAATTACACAAATCGTCACTGCTTTATTCATTAAAACCTTTCTCAATATTTGTTACTTATTATAAATCATAGGTTCTCAAATTTTTACAAAACAATAATTTCCAAAATCAATTTTATGCACAATTCAATCTTCTGGTGAATGTCCTTGAATTCCTTCTATTACTTATAATTCGAATTATGAAGTGTCGACTTGATTCCGGGCTTTTACAACCTGTGAAGAAGCAAATATTATTATATCATTGGAATAAATACAATTTGTAATTTTAAGAAAACTATGTCGTCACTATTACTGAAATATCTATGTTAACACACTGAACACTTTTTTGTACTGGAATCGAATATTATTTAAGAAAATAAATGGAATTTTTATACAGGTAATACTTCAATTTTAACCCTATAATGTCTAAATCCGCCTCCAGACAGATACATCTTAGAACAGGTAAGCATATCCCAATTGTCCTAAAATTAAAATCCAACCTCAAATTTTTATTTTGGAGCAATAAAATTTGGGCTTTACAGGGTTAAGGTAAATTCTTTGCGGGTTCAATCAACGAAGAAAATAGATAATGTAGAACTTTACCTTTGAAAGAAATTATGTATAAGGTTACTCCGAACAAATGCATTTTGTGCATGCTCATTTTGAGGTACATTTAGTGGAGGAATGTTTCCATATTCTATCAAATTATCCCAATCTGCAGGTAGATTAATAATTTGGATCGTTTGCTGGCAGAGGATCTGCTATGTGACAGGCAATATTGTGCAACACTGCTGTTGCTACAATTGTCTTCATAGTTCGTTCCATTGAATATCGTATACCTAGCACCAGAGTAGGGAATCTTCTCTTCCAAATTCCAAATAAACGTTCAACTGTGTTCCTTGTGCGTATGTGTGATTCATTATACCATTGTTCTGCTGCATCTTGTGGATTTAAAAGAGGTGTCAATAAATATGGTTTTAGAGGATAACCATTATCACCTAGCAAAATGGCATCTCCACAATGACCCTGCTCAAATGTTGCGCAGAAACGGCTGTTATTGAAAATTGTGCTGTCGTGTACGAATTCTTGCCAACGAGCGACGATATCAGTTATTTCCATGTTGGCGTTTGAAACTACTTGAACGTTAATTGAGAAGTAACACTTTCTATTTCGAAAAAGTTCTGTTTCTTCTCCATCTGTAAAAAATTAAAATATAAACTAAATACAATTCTTTTATCTCAATGTAGAACATTCAATAAAGAGATTTTACTTTCTGAAGGATTGTACGCGGACATGTATGCAGTCTATGCAACCAATGACTTTTGGGAACCTTGCTATTCTGTAAAACTGTTCTTGCTGCTGACGAATTTTCTCATTTGTTGAAGGGAACTTCACGAAATGTGGTCGTAATCATCTGGCAACTACATTCGTTACATGAGAAGCAATGCGATGTGCAGAAATTGTGCTTACATCAGAAAAATCTGCTACAGGCATATAATGGGATCTTGTTGCGAATAATCGTAAAGTGAGCAACAACTGATTCAGTGGTGACAGTGGCCAATTTCTAAATATATAACACATACGATTGGCATTTATTGATTATAATTAGACTTTTTTCATATACCATTACCATTTATATGCCATAAAATACTCACTTATTTGAAGGAAACTTTAAATCTTCCTCTATTTCATTGCATAGCCACATCACTGATTGTTTGCCCATTCGAAATCTTATTTTGAATTCTATATCATCCAATTCTTCAAAGTAATTATGGCGAGTTTTAAATTTTTTCAGTCTTCTATTAATAAAATCTATAATGTCTTCATCATCGGAAGACGATAACATGTCATAATAATACGGCATTTTACGATAATTAATGTTACTTTTGTAATTACGTATGATGAACACAAACAAACTTAACCTCTAACCAACGTTACACTTCTTACCACCATGGATACCAGAGATGAGTAGGGAGATTGCCAATGAGCCTGTTTTTGGTGGGCTCAATTTTTCTCTGGTTTCGACGCGCCACCTTAGCGGAGGGCCCTCGAACTAGTTCCACATTTTTGATTGGTCGAATGAATTCGTGTGTTCCTCGAGATCCACGATTTTAAACCGGGTGAACACTCAAATAGGGACATTTGTATCCACCTTTTTTTTTACAGGATATTACATAAACCGTAGTAATAAGGTAGTCAATACTCTTAATAATCATATGAAGCTCTGGAAATAATAGAGTAAGCAAATAAAACTTAAAAAAAACTCTCGAACGTGGGTAACTACACAAATATAAGTTTGCTAAATAATATACCACAATGACTCGATAGCACACGTGCTTGGTGCTGGATTGACGTCCGAGAGTCTCGAGTTCGAAATTCACGTCTCAGCCCTTTTATTTTTTTTCTTAATTATCAACTATGCTTATTAGTTCACCTAGTTAACTTAAGATTCATTAAATATATGATTATATTAATAAT